AAAATTATCAATCAAATTTTACAAAAAACTTTGTTTCTGACTGAAAAACTTATCTCCCAAAAAAACTGAAAATCTAATTAAAAAACGTATTCAGATAGATTTGAAAAAAGTAAAATAAAACCATTTTTGACCAAATTTTGTGAATTTTCCCATATTTAAAAAAAAAAAATTGTAAAATAATTGTATTTCTCTCTCACAAACATGCAAACTGTAAAAAAAAAATTGTGTAATCTCACAGAAAATTAAAAATCTAATTCCAAAAAAATACATAGGCTTCAAAAATATAAAATAACACGATTTTTAACCAAATTTTGTGTTTTTAAGAAAATTTTCCAAAATAATTTAATTTCTGTAGAAAAACGTGCAAATTGCAAAGAAATCTAACAAAATTTTGTTTGATTATCCACATTTAAAAAAAGTAATTCTACTAAATGTATATACAGGGTGTGTCAGAACTCGCGCCCCAGAGAAAAATTTCAAGTAAGATAAGATATCAGGAACATGAAAAAATACTGTCTGTAAAAAATTTATTATTTAACGTTTGACATTTTTTTATATCTATTTAATGATATTGATGATCTTGTATATGTTTTTTTTTTATAATTATTTACTAAAGAGTTACAATTTAGGACACAGCTTCCTTGTTTCCTCTTCTAATAGCCTGTAGGAAAAAAAATATTTTTCCAAGAGAAATAAATAAAGAGTCAAAATGCAAAATTTAAACTCTCATAACTTCGAAATTTTTATAGATAGAATTTTTTGAACATTTCTTTCAAGTTGTTCATGAATTTTTCTCTGGGTCGCGAGTTCTGGCGCACCCTGTATAAACACAGAACCGAGTTTACACAAAAATTCACCTATAAAATGCTTTTTATACATAATAAACCTTAAAATAAAATAAAACCCGTTAACGACCCACCTTATTACAGAGTATAATTAAACCATAATTTACTTACCTAATGGTTTTATCTCGTCTTAGATTAGTTTAATAAAAAAATTAATAAATGTGCTTTATTTTCTTATGGGGTGATTGGCGCCACCTAACCGAATCGGGCGAATTTACAACATTCTCCAACTACAGAAATCTCTACTCCATGTTTATTGATTTACTACAGTGACTGAACTTTATTCTAGTGAACCAAAACACAATTTTCTCAAATTTTTTGCCGTACTTTGAACCCAGATTTATTACCGATTTGTAATCAATAAATATTTACAGTTCATTATTTAAAAATATTAGATCAAATATTCCACTTCCAAAATTCACACACAAGTTTATTGTTTGTGGTGATAAATGGATAAAAAATATCACTGAGGAGCAAAGAGCATCTGACTCACGAGTTTTAATCTAATTTTTTAATACGGAATAGTGAAAATTTCGAAATAAACTCGAGGTCGTTCAAAAGAATGGCTTTTGTTCTAGTAATGACACCTTTTGAACTTTTCACTTTTTATGTAATATCGCCTCTCCAGATGCCAGGTGATAAGATTTTCAAGGTTGATTGACAATTGAGTAAAAATCACTTATTTTTAAACTGGGACACTCTTATCACCTAAAAATGTACAACATTGAGCACAAATGGGGGTAATCGTCGTTGCCTCAGGAAAGACATTACCTCGTACCTGCTTTAATGTCCTCGACCTGCCTCACACGCACATACAGGGTGCGCCAGAACTCGCGCCCCAGAGAAACATGAAAAAAGTGTTAAAAAAATTCTATCTATGAAAATTTCGAAGTTATGAGAGTTTAAATTTTGCACTTTGACTCTATTTCTGTTAGAAAAATAATTTTCCAAGTTTTTTTGCTATAGGCTATTAGAAGAGGAAGCAAGGAAGCTGTATCCTAAATTGTAACTCTGTATAATCTTATCTGTAGCTTTTATTGGCAAAATTTTTGTACTTTTATTAAAATAATCGTAAAAAAAGATCATGTCAAATGTCAACAAATAAATGTCAAATTTTTTGACAGATAGAATTTTTTAAACATTTTTTCATGTTCCTGGTATGTTATGTTACTTGAAATTTTTCTCTGGGGCGCGAGTTCTGGCGCACCCTGTATGCGATCGTCTCAACTAACCCTAAGGGAGATATAAAACCGACCTACTTATGTCTTGAAATTCAAGAAAAATTAGCTCCACGCTAGCGTCCATTTTTCCGTTATCGCCAAACATTGCAACGAAATTATTCAAAGTGATAAATTGAGTGCAAAAGGTTAAAAAATTTTATCACTACTCCCACTTCCTCGCACAAAATGACAAATCTGAGGTCTTATTTGTTTATTATAACGAAGTTTATACAGATTTTGCCTAATTAAATTAGATGTTTCAACAAATTCTGCTTGAAAAAATCGCATTTTTTCGAATGTTTATGTTTACTTATTTTTGTACATTATCACACAGTACAATTCCAACACATGTTCTAAAAGTGTTTGATTCAATAAATTTATTTAATTCATTGATTTATTTTTACTTCTAACACTTCTAATAGAATGATTTATCTTGTTTACGCATAAATGCAATTATTTTCCTATTTCTATTCCTGTTTCACTCTATTAGGGTGAATAGGGGAGAGAGGGACCAGCGGGAGAGTTAATCTTGACAAAATGTGTCCCATCTCTCCCGAACTTACTCTACATTTAGATAAAATTTACGTAAAACATTTTTTCCAATTAAAAAAATCAAAAAACGCTATAATGAATAGTTTGTATCTACAAACGTCACAAAAGTGACTACTTTTATGATTAAATTTCTCAAGTAAAAATTTTGTCAGCCATGCAGTAAAAATTATATTTTTGCTCCTAAGCGTTTTTACTTTTACTATGACATTATTGACATTTACCAATGTTGTTTCTTTCTTGTCAATTTCTGGAAAAGTACATTAGACATTTTCAACTACTAACTGCACTAGTTAATACACATTTTCGAAAATCTCAACACAAATTCAGATACTGCCATATGACGTGTGTATTGTTTGATTTCATTACTAGCAAAGCGTCCTGATTATTTTGGTCATTTACTTACTAATTAAGTGTTGCTCTTTACTCTCGATCTAAATACGTGTGTGGATAACATAGGATATATGTTATTCGGAGTAAAATTGAGTTTATGTGGCTCAGCTGAATTATATCACTTTTACTCCTAATAACATAATATACTATTTCTTTGCTAAGTATACCAAAAAATTTTGATAAGTAAATTTGTTTGTGAGATGACGCTAACTTGGATATAATTTAGTGAATTTTCAGATGTTTTGACAAAAACACGCTTTAAAAAAATAAATCTAAGCAAAATAATATTAATTTTAATCTAGTTTGGCGTATTAAAGGCGTGTAATAGCCAAATTTTGCAATAAAAACTAATTTTTAGGTCAAATTTTTTTCTACTTCTAATAACATAATATACTATTTTAATTATATTGTCAATTTAAAAAATATATTTCTATAATAAACTAAAAAAAAACTTTGCTCGTTTTTTAGCCAGAGACTAAATTATTTAAAAAGATTTGTGTAAACTGGCCCAAAAATCGTTTATTCGGTAAATTTCGACAGGTTTACCTCATTTT